TATTTTATAGAGAAAGAAAGGCTCTCAAAAGCTAAATGACATGTAGCTGATCAAGAATCCAAGAATCTGAACTCAGATCTCTGATGCCACAGCCCATTCTTTCCATCTCACTATGGGGCCTCTCTGGTTTAAATTTTCCTTATGACAAGAAAAATCTGACTAAAGAACAAAGAGAGCAAACTAAGTTTTGTTTCTTTTTTTAATTGTCACAAATTTAATCAAACATCCATTTTTAGGTAGACAAATGACTGTTATGCCACATGAAACAGGGATAACCATTCCAATTTGAAATAGTCTTGTATCTTTACTAAGTAAATAAAAAATATAAGTCACATCGACTTTAATTTCATCTTTCTTAAAATTACATTGTATCAAATATAAAAGTCTAGAAGGGAAAATGGAAAAAATAACAATTATGTTACGATGGTAGAATTTTATATAGGGATGAGTTTTATATTTTAAAAATGTCCTTAAAAATTGTTCTTATATGGTAACACTTTTTTTAATGCCATTACAAATTACTATACATTAGTACCTAAGAGAAGATGCAAAACAACTGTTAATTTGACTAGCAAGTGTAACTTTTTTTTTTTTTTTAATTTTTTTGAACGTGTATTTTTGAGAGAGACAGTGTGAGCAGGGGAACCGGCCAAAGAGAGGGAGACAAAGAATCCAAAGCAGGTTCTAGACTCTGAGCTGTCAGCACAGAGCGCGACGTGGGGCTCGAACTCACAAGCCCTGAGCCAAAGTTGGACATTTAACTGACTAAGCCACCCAGACACCCACAAGTATAACTTTTTAAAATACCAAAAGTGGGGCCCCTGGGCAGATCAGTCGGCTAAGTGTCCAACTCTTGATTTCAGCTCAGGTCATGATCTCATGGTTGTGGGATCCAGCCCTCTGTCAGGCTCCATACTGAACATGGAGCCTGCGTGGCATTCTCTCTCCCACCCTCTCTCTCAAAATAAATAAACTTTAAAAAAAATTTTTTTTTTTTAGGGGCACCAGGGTGGCTCAGTTGGTTAAGTGTCCAACTCTTAGTTTAGGCTCAGGTCATGATCTCACAGTTCATGAGTTCAAGCCCCACATCAGGATCCACACTGTAAGTGCTTAGAATTCTCTCTCTCTCTCTCTGTCCCTCCCCAATTGTGCTGTCTCTGTCTCTCTCAAAATAAATAAAAAAGAAAAGAAAAAGAAAAATTAAAAACAAAAAAATTTTTTAATAAAATACCAAAAGTAATTCTCAAGTTAATAAAGACCTTCTAGGGGCGCCTGGGTGGCGCAGTCGATTAAGCGTCCGACTTCAGCCAGGTCACGATCTCGCGGTCGGTGAGTTCGAGCCCCGCGTCGGGCTCTGGGCTGATGGCTCAGAGCCTGGAGCCTGTTTCCGATTCTGTGTCTCCCTCTCTCTCTGCCCCTCCCCCGTTCATGCTCTGTCTCTCTCTGTCCCAAAAATAAATAAACGTTGAAAAAAAAAATTAAAAAAAAAAAATATCCAATAAAGACCTTCTAATGAAATCTATGAATATTCAAAATTCTACTTCACTTTACCATGAATCCTGCTAAAACAAGTGTCAACAGGAGGGCTAAATTATTATAAAGTTTGTTAATAACAAAAACTAGTTGACATAAATTGGCCATTAACAAACTGTGATTTTGAAACTTTGTTTATAAGGGTTTTTATCTTAAGATTTTTATCATTTTAATCAGATTTACAACCAAAAGTTATTTTTGTTTATTAATTCATCTTATTCATTCAAAATTGAAAACAATTAAAAATACTTTGTCAATTTAGTAATAAGAGCCTTTATTGCCATCCAAAGAAATTAAAATAATTATACCAAGTTTTAAGTCAACATCTAAAACATTTTCTAATTTCTTCAAACTAGCATTAAAACAAATACAGAAAACAACTGAGTTTTCATTTACTAACTACTGGAATTCAAAATTGTAATTAATTAATATAAAATAAACAATAAAAACCAAATGTGTTCAGCATTCAGAAGAATGGTTAATCTAACTGGGCAAGTATCACACGAGGGAAAAAAACAACATTTATAGCCAATCTAGTAATGAATTCTCTTTTACATTTCTGCACTAATTCTACATTAAAACCTCTGAATAAAACTGTTTAAACTCTCTAAAATTTCAAAATCTGTTTCTACCATTCCAAAAATATGCTATAAGAGTAACGTCCAATTTAAACCCTCCAAACTGAAATTTACAAAGCAATCATTTGCTTTAACAAAAGTACAATGTCATATAATACTAATGAAGAAAGGGGAGATTGGAAACTAAGTTCATTATCTTTTCTATTTCCTTATTTATTTCAAGGTAATTTCTTGGTACAGAAATAGGTACCTTTAAAGAAGTATTTGTATTTTCTCAGTTCATAACGTATTTTGAAAATGAATCAAGTTACAATTAGTTTTCCCTAATTCCTATTCATTCAACAAACACATTTGTGTCATGACAATGATCATTACAGGAATTTCTTCACTTACTAATTTTTATTTCTCAGAAATAAAATGTAAAACTGCAGAAACTTCTAAAAAGTTAACTTTAAAAAAAATTTTTTTTCAACGTTTTTATTTATTTTTGGGACAGAGAGAGACAGAGCATGAATGGGGGAAGGGCAGAGAGAGAGGGAGACACAGAATCGGAAACAGGCTCCAGGCTCTGAGCCATCAGCCCAGAGCCCGCCGCGGGGCTCGAACTCACTGACCGTGAGATCGTGACCTGGCTGAAGTCGGACGCTTAACCGACTGCGCCACCCAGGCACCCCTAAAAAGTTAACTTTAAAACTCACTAGAGAAAATTCTATGCAAAGTGAAGTCAGCAAATGGTTGAAAACAGATGTCACCAGAGCAACTCCAAAAGATGATGAAGGGATGTACTTACGTTTCAAAACAACGATCCACGTTGTCAGACATCAAAAGCAGCATGCATAGCTGTTCAAGGGCTATTAGCTGCATGTCCCTTTCATCTCCCTGTCCCATCTGTAGCCATTCCAACAATGTATCAGGATCCACATCTGCCATGGTTTTTTAAAAGCCTCTTTGCTTAAATTAAAAAAGTAAAAGGAAAATTCCTTTAAATATCCAGGACAGATCAGCTTGGGTTAAAATTTTTTTTTTCTTTTATATCAGCTAGAACCAAATGTTCCTGGTGTCCTAGGAATTAGAAAAGACTCATAAGTATGTTTGGAGAAAGTACTTTAAAGCAGTTTTTCCACTTCCCTTATTCCTCAGGTTTAATGTTTATATATCATACTAAATAAAAACCAGTTTTGCACAAGAGTATAAGGGTAGGTAGTTTCTACTTAACTGGAAACCAGAGCTGTCTTTGTCAAACACAGTCAAACAAGCTTCAGATCCCACTACTGCTATCACCCAACGTCTGTGCCAAAAGGCAAAGAACACCTTCCTAAAGGTTCTTTTTTTTTTTTTTCCAGCAAACTTCTTCCCCCCTCCTCCACCCAAAACTGATCTTCAGATAAGGGTTAGATTCAGTATTTTGAGGAGGCTCTAAACACTTTGATCCAATCCCCCTCTAAAAAAAGTTTCTGCTTTAAGATTATCTCCAATTTCACAAATTCTGCTGACTTCCTAATTTACTTACTGCTTCTTAAGATGTCCACATACGAACAATAATTAGATACAAGATGTATCTATGAATAAAGGCTTGGTTAAGAGTTCTGGCAGTCCTGGCAACTATTCTTAAAAGTTTAAAAAAGAAATGCTAAAAGTAAATGCAATGGACTAACACCTTACGGATCAGAATACAAGCCAATCTACGGTCCTCTTTCCCCATCCCCACAGAATGGGGCAGTTGGCTTAAAAACAAAACAAAACAAAACAAAACAAAAACAAAAACACGAAATAAGAGAAGCAGCCCCAAAAGGCAAGTCATTACAAAAGCCCGTAGGCGCCCTGACGGGACGACAGCTTTGGGTCCCACGTACGCCAGCTGCAGGTGTGTGAATCCAACCGCGGATCACGGTGGGCACCCAACGGCGGCGACCAGCAGGAATGACCCAATACTCCGGGCCCAGCCGAGCCCCGCGCCGGGAGGCGCAGGCACCTGGCTCTGGTTTCTTGGCACCAAACCCCGCTAAGTTAGCTACCTGTGTCTAGGAGGGGGAAGTTCAGGAGGAGAAGCAGCAAGCCTCCAGTGCCCAGAACAGGCCGCCGGGCCGAACAGGGCGGCGGGTCTCTCGGGAGCTGAGCCCGGAACTCCATGGCTCCGGGGGACGTCCCTGGCCGACCCGGCGGCGAACCCTTCTCAAGGGCAAGGGGGGCCCGCCGCGGGCTCCGGCTCCGGCAAGCCGGGCCCCGCCGCGGGCAGGGCCGAGGGACGGGAACAAAGGGGCTAAGCGGGTAAGCCCGCAGCAGCCCGGCCGACCTCAACTGGGGCTGGGGTCTCACTCCCGGGACGCCGCCGGGCATCCCGGATCCCGGCCCCCAGGCTGGCCCTTCCGACCGCGTAAGGCACTCCCGCCTCCCTATCCTTTAAGCTCTTACCCGGGCTTGTCGTCCCAAACCGCTCCCGTCCAGCTCCAAGCAGGCCGCGGGCAGAGCCAGGCCCGGCCGCGGCCCTCGAGTTACCAGGAAGCCGCAGGCCGCGCAGGTCGAGCCGGGCAAGCGGCACAGGAAAAGCCGCGCCTCGTCCCTCCCCTTCCTCCGTGGGGACCTGGAGACAGGGAAGCGAGAGGTTCCCCCGACCGGCTGCAACCAGCGCACGTCCGGTCCCCGGCACGCGGCTCCTCAGGCCTGAAGCTCAGAGGCTCGCGCGGTGCTGCCGGCGGCGGGGGGAGGCCGCGTCCATCGCGATCCCGGAGGGGTAAGGGAGGAGGGTCGAACGAGAGCGGGGCGGGGAAGCTGCGGAGGGCAGCCGAGCTCGGCGGAGGCGGAGCAAATCGACCCTCCCGGCAGCGGCCCCGCAGGCCGCCACGTGGGGCGCTGCGGAGACCTGTCGGCCGGCGGCGCAGCAGCGCCAACCTGGGGCGCCGGGCGACCGGACGCGTGGCCGCCACTACCGAGACGGTCTGGCCCCGCGGGCCTCGGACTCCCTTATCAGGAGTCGCTTTTCGGTCGTATGCCTTGGCCCCTTTACGCTTCGCTGGCAATGCGAGCACGCTCCCAGCACCCCCGCACACTGGTGCACGCACGCTCAGCTTGTTTTGCACCGTGCCTACACACTTAGCGTGCTCCTGCTGTTAGGCCCCCACCCTGCACGTCATAGCGGTGGCCCAACCTGTCCTTGCCTAGTCTCCGGCCCGGCGGCCGGCACTCCGACGCGAGCTCCCCTCCTCCCCGCCCAGCAGCCCTACTCGCGCGCGGAAGTGCGTCGCAGGAGGAAAAGCACCCTCCCCCCCACCCGGTGTCCTGGGAGGCGAACCCCCTGCAGTTCACGAGAAAGAAAACCTTTCACCATAACCCTGAGCAGAAAATATTTTCAAGTATTATCTCCATCCCACTGATAAGAGAACTGAGCTGCAAAAAGCGTGAATTCAGGCTCAGTGGCGTCCCGGTAAGCAGCGCAGCTGAGAGTGTGCTTTTGACTGTCCTTTCTGTGGGTTGTGGTCTCAAGTACATCCGTGGTTATTCCTTTCAAACGTTTTGTTTTACACGCTTTGAAAATAAAATCCGCTTGCTTCTAAGACGTACTTGGAGATTTTTAGGATGTAGTTAATTGGAAATGTAAATATAGCTGTTTTTAATAAAGAAACGAACCCCTTGGTTTGTGAGATAAGCAAACCCATACCTCGGACACTCTCACTGTACTTTCCCCTTTTCATCTTTTAAACAAAAATGAATATTACATGATAGAATTTGTGTCCCTTTAAGCAACCTGCATATGCTTAGCCAGTATTTTGGAAATTACAGATTTTCACTTCAAACATATATAGGCACGTGTCCCACTGTCGCAGGTAATGATCCCTAGGTCTCCTGTTAACAGTTCAAATCAAGAGAAAAGGGTAGAGGATTCCACTATCTTGTCACAACTACAACACATACAGAAAATTCTTTGGTAGCTATAAACATGATTTGGAGCTACCAGGAAAATCTTCAAGGAGGAAGTAGCATTCTTTCTGTACCTTGAAGAATGGGTGGAATATAGACAGTGCAAGGGAGGGGGAAGAAAACAAGCAAAGCCTGGTATCTTCTGACAAAGGAAAGAGGGACAGTGCCCCGAGCAAAGAATCTGCATTAAACAATGAAGGGGAGAGAAGGTAGGGACTAAAGTAAGTAGGGCCTCGAATGCCAGATGCAGAATTTAAGCTTAGGTGAGTAGCAGGTTTTGGATTAGAACACTGTCTAGAAGAATTAGGTCTTAGAAAGATTGATAGAATGGCTTAAAAGGAGCTACCTAGATAAGAAAATTAGCTGGGAGGTTGCTGAAATCCTCCATAGGTGGAGGGAGAAAGGGCCTAGTTATTGGCAATAATAAAGAGCTAGGGGCGCCTGGGTGGGCTCAGTCGGTTGAGCGTCCGATTTCGGCTCAGGTCATGATCTCACAGCTCGTGAGTTCGAGCCCCACGTCGGGCTCTGTGCTGACAGCTCAGAGCCTGGAGCCTGCTTCTGCTTCTGTGTCTCCTTCTCTCTCTGCCCTAAACCACTCGCAGTCTGTCTCTGTCAAAAATAAATAAACATCAAAAAGAAATTTTTTTTTAAAGAATAAAGAGCTAAATCTAAAAAATATTTTTATTTTTTAAAAAGATATATCAGAATTTAAATGATTGACTTCATTTCGGTTTTTTTGTTGTTTTTTTTTTAACCTGCAGAGAGAGCACTTGGAAGCTAGGAAAATGATTATGCTATTAACAGAAAATAGAAAAGTTACAAGAGGGGCACCTGGATGGCTCATTTGGTTAAGCATCAGACTCTTGGTTTGGGCTCAGATCATGATCTCACCAGTTAGTGAGTTTGAGCCCAGTATCCAGCTCTGCACTGACAATGCAGAGCTGCTTGGGATTCTCTCTCTCTGCCCCTTGAGCTCTCTCTCTTTCTCTCTTTCTCTCTTTCAATATAAAAAAATTAAAACTTAAAAAAAATGAAAAGTTGGAAGAGACTACTCTTTACTAAATTTTTTTTTAAGATTTTATTTTTTTTTAAGTAATCTCTACACCCAATGTGGGGCTCGAACTTACAACCCAGAGATCAAGAGTTGCATGCTCTACTTATTAAGCCAGCTAAGTGCCCCCACTTTACTGAAATTTTAAGGTATTTTCCCTTATTCCTTTACCATCTTTATTCACACCATCTACTTCTACCCCAAAATGAATGACTGAGGTATGCTTTAAAGAAACCTTATCCAAAAAGTACTGTGACTTTTATTGTAATTATTATTTTAAATTCAAATGTGAACAAGAACATTAAAGTAAAAGAATAAAGCCCTGAAGAAAACAGAAGATCTTGTGATGGCAACTGACCGTACTTGAATATATGTCCCAAGAAACCAAGATATGTTTACCTGGTAATATTTCACCTTGGTGTCAAAATATAAGAATAATGGCCATTGGGAATTGCTATGTGCCAGGCACAGTGAGTCACAGACCTCATCTTCAATAAACTATAAATCTAGGGGAGGGTAGATGTGAACACAGTTCCCTTGTCTGCCTCTGTGGTAGTGCTTATCACATAATATTGTCAAGTACACTGAGAACATCAAGGAGGTAATGGTATCTCAGAAGGCTTCATAAATGATGTGTGAACTAGATCTCAGATGTTGAGTTAGAGCTGGCCAGACATTAGGAAGACCATGTGGAGAGGCATAAAAGTGTGAAGAATGCTCCTCACCTTTTGGCATAGGCCCCACTTCTATGAAATATCTTCAGAATATACACAGTTACTGGGATCCATTCACAGGTTCAGAAAGGAAATTCTCATCATTCAAATTTAAACTCTTATACCACCAACTGACATTACTATGAATTTATTTTTAAAATAAGTCTTATCTTATGAAAAACACAGTTATATGCCATTACATATTTTATATATCAAAAGCATCAATAGATGTAAACATTTCAAACAGGCTACAAATAAGATAACTGGGCATTTCTTCAACTATTAACTGGAAATGGGAGTGTCCCTGGCTTCTCTCAACTTTTGAAAGGCTGCAACTATGAAGGAGTGTAGCCATTTGGGAACAGTAGAAAATTAAGTTTGGCTGGAACCTAGAATAAAGTTAGTGGCCAGAAGAGGACATTGAGGTTAATTGGAATTCATTTTCTAAAGGTCTTAAAACACCATGCTAAGGAGTCTGAAGTTTGTTCTTTGGGCAATGGGGAGCCCTTGAACATTTTAAACAAAGGAGTACTATGATATGATGCAGGTTTTAGGATTATTAGCCACCCTTAAGCTAAAATTGGTTTCCATAAGGGCACCTGGCTGATTCAGTCAGTAAAGCATGCGACTCAATCTCAGGGTCTTGAGTTCAAACCCCACTTTGGGCATATTGCTTACTTGAGAAAATTTTAAAAATTAAAAAACATAAAATTGATTTGTATAAAGGTTTACAGTTAGCAAAAGACTAAAAAATATTTAATCTTCCTATATTATTTTAATATATTTGAAAAATGACCTAACAGAATTAGCACAAGTATTTTCTTTATATTACAAACAAGAAAAAATTCAGAGAAATTAGGTGACTTGCTCAAGGTCTCACAACTAGTAAAGGACAGGTCTAGTTCTCAAACATAGGCCTTCAACTCTGACTCTTAAGAGTGTAAAGGAATATCAGGGCACCTGAGTGGCTTAGTCGGGTAAGCATCCGACTTTGGCTCAGGTCATGATCTCATACCTTCCCTCTACCTTTCCTCATACTGAAAAACAAAACAAAACAAAACAAAACAATGTAGCAGTCTGTGCCATCCCTGACTTGTTATCCAGATTCTTCTATAATATTTCCAGTGTTGGGAAATTATTACTTTATGAGGCACTGCATTTTACTTTGATCTACTAGCTCCAATTATTAAAAGACTGTATGGTAAAAAAGGTTATACATTAGAGTTGGCCAAGCAGTGTGTGAAACCTAGTTCCCATTTTACTAGCTTGGTGAACTTGGTAAATTATTTAAGCCTTCCAGACCTCAGTTTCTTCATATATAAAATAGGATAGCCACAGCTACCTAATCAGATGGATATGAGAAGAATTGAAGAATGGGGCACCTAGGTGACTCAGCTGGTTAAATGGCTCAGATCGTGTTATCAACGGTTCATGCGTTTGAGCCCTTCATCGGGCTCTCTACTCTCAGTGCCCATCCTGCTTCGGATCCTCTGTCTCCCCCTCTTTCTGCCCCTCCCCACATGCTCTCTCTCTCAAAAATAAATAAACATTTTAAAAAACTTTTTTTTAAATAAATGAAGGAGGTTATATATGCAAAGAACCTAGGCCAGTAGTTCTGAACCTTAGCTGCACATTAGATTCACTTGGGGAACTTTTTTTTTTTAACTTTTTTTTAAAATACACTATTTTTTCAGATCCATTTTAAGCTCACAGCACAATTGAGCAGAAAGTACTGTTTCCATATACCTCCTACCTCTATACCCACACAACCTTCCTATCAAAATCCTCACTATCAAAATAATTATATTTATTACAATTAATGAATCTGCATTGCCACATCATTATCACTCAAAGTCCATGTTTTATGTTGGGATTCACTCGTGGTGTTGTACATTCTATAGGTTTTGACAATGAAATGCATCATGACACATTTTCATCATTATAGTATCATACATTATAGTTTCACTGCCCTAAAAATCACCTGTGTTCCATCTATTCATCCCTCCCTCCTCAGTAGCCCTGGCAACCACAAATCTTTTTACTGTGTCTATAGTTTTGCCTTTTTCAGAACGTTGGAATAGTTGGAATCATATAGCATGTAGCCTTTTGGGACTGGCTTCTTTCACTTAGTAATATGCATTTTCCCTTAGTAATGTGCATTTAAGGTTCTTCCATGTCTTTTCATGGTTTAATAGCTCATTTCTTTTAGGACTGAATAATATTCTGTTGTCTGAATGTACCATATTAATCTATCCACCCACTGAAGGACATCTTGGATGCTTCCAAATTTTGTCAATAGGAATAAAGCTGCTGTAAACATCCATGTGTAATTTTTTTTCATGTGCAGGCTTTTCTGTGGACATAAGCTTTCAACTCATTCGAGTAAATACCAAGGAGCGTGATTTCTAGATCATATGGTAAGAATATGTTTAGTTTTATTAAGTACCAAAGTGTCTTCCAAAGTAGCTGTACCATTTTTGCATTCCCATAAACAATAAATGAGAGTTCCTGCTGCTCCACATTCTCATCAGCATTTGGTATTATCATTGTTTCGGATGTTGCCCATTCTAATAGGTATATAGTGGTATCATATTGTTGGTTTATTTTGCAATTCCCAGAGTGCCTGGCTTGTTCAGTTGGTAGAGTATGCAACTCTTGATCTCAGGGTCAGGAGTTAAAGCCCCACATTGGGCGTGGAGCCTACTTAAACAAACAAACAAACAACTAATAATAATAATTTGCAGTTCCCTAATGACATCATATTGGGCATCTTTTCATATACTTATTTGCCACATGCGTATCTTCTTTGGTGAGGTGTCTGTTTGGATCTGTGGCCCATTTTCAAATTGGATTATTCATTTACTCATTGTTGAATTTTAAGAGTTCTTGGGGGCATCTGGCTGACTGAGTTGGTGGAGCATGCAACTCTTGATCTCAGGATTGTGGGTTCTAGCCCCATGTTGGCTATAAATATTACTTAAAAATAGAATCTTTACCAAAAAAAAAAATTAAATTAAATTAAATTAAATTAAATTAAATTAAATTAAATTAATAAATAAAATGTCAGATACCCAGGCCATATCTCAGACCGCATCAGTCAGAATCTCTGAAGGTAAGGTTTAACCATCAGTACTTTTTAAAGTGTAGTAAGAGACTCTAGTGTGTAGCCAAGGCTTAGAGCCATTGGCCTAAGTCAATACAATAATAACAACATTTAAGTATAATTATAGTAATTCTTATTACTATTGCAGCTAGATTTTATTGGACACTTACCATGTTCTAACACTTTTCTAAATGCATTACAAGTATTACTTCATTATGGGTATTAACTACTTTGACCTACTATCTGTGTGACCTTGGTCTTTCTGAGCTTTGTGTTACTGATCTGTAAAGACCAAGATGATGATAGAAAGTAACGCCTCATTGAATAATTATATTAAACAAGATGATGCATATAAAATGCATATCATGTGTTAAATACTCAAAAGTGCCAGCTACTAATATTATTGTATTACTGGTTCTGCTCTCTTATGTGGTATGCTAGGTCTGCTCCCTCTTTCATAAGATAGGTCATGAAACAATTGAAGACAACAGTCATGTTCCCATGTCCTCTCTTCTCCAGGCAAAGCAAGTCCAGTCCCCTTGACTGCTTTACCCTCCTTAGGTATGTTCCAGCTTCCCCATGTTCATTAACTGATCCCTAAGCCAAAAACAGTGCTTCACATGAGGAAAGACCAGAACAAAGGAGTGCAGTCTTTGTTGCATTGGTTTGGGAGGGTGGTAATCACATCCCTCTTCTGGCTCACACAGAGTTTGCAGTAAGCTAAAGTTGTAATGCCTTGCTCCCTCAACTTCCAAGGCAGCTTTCCTTCTTCACTCTTTTGAGTAGATATTTTTGACCTTACTATTTAGACTTATTAAAATCATTTTGCTCGTTCTGTCACAGTGCTGCCTTCTGTGGCAATCTTTTTGAATCCTGATCAAATATGACAATGTATCATCCATACCCCCAGACTCTTTATTAGTAGTCAGTTAGGTAAAGGTGTTGGACAGAACATGGCCAAAACGAAGGCTCTGGCATATTATAAACCTTTCACCAGGGTTTATTGGTGAAATAAACCTTACTTATCCATTTACTTATTTATTTCTCCATTAAGTAACATCCTCTGGATATAGTTGTTTAGGCAACTATGACTTTATCTTATGACTTTGCCTAACAACATAATCACCTGACCCACTTTTCTCCTTCTTGGCAATAAGAATTTTAATATACTTTCATTTAAAAAGTGACAATATTGGGGCGCCTGGGTGTCTCATTTAAGCGGCCAACTCTTGATTTCAGTTCAGGTCATGATCTCACAGTTGTGGGATTGAGCACCACATTGGGCTCAGTGCCAAGTGTGGAGCCTGCTTTGGATTCTCTCTCTCTCTCTCTCTGCTCATGCTGGCTCTCTCACAATTAATAAATAAACTTAAATAAAAATAAAAAGTGACAATATTGAAAAAATGAAAACCAAAATTGAATTTTGTAGTATAAGATGAACATATTTGTATGTAAGAATTTAAAGGAAATCATTTCAAATACCCTTTTTTAAATTAAAAAAAAAATTAATTAATTAATTAACTAATTAATTTTGAGAGAGAGGGAGCATGAACAGGAGAGAGGCAGAGAGAGAGAGAGAGAGAGAGAGAGAGAGAGAGAGAATCCCAAGCTGGCTCCACACATCAGCACACATTAGCACAAATATGGGTCTCAAACCCAGGAGCCATGATATCATGATCTGAGCCGAAACCAAGAGTCCAACACTTAACTGACTGACTCATCCAGGCACCCCATCAAATACCTTCTTGAAATTGACTTGCTTCTACTGTGGCCCCTGAATAATAACATTTGAGGAAGTTGGATGAAGAATATATATAGGAACTCTTATTTTATTTGTAACTTTTTTTATGTTCAAACTTATTTCAAAATTAAAAGTTAAAAAACAAAACAATAAGATTAGCTTGAACTGATGAATTCTTAGTAATGCTATCTACTAGGAATCACTCTTCTAAAGATTTCAAAAATGATGTATTTAAAAATAAATTATAGAATTTTGACAATTTGTTACAAGATTCACCATATCCAATATATATTCCTTGGTTGTGAAGACAAAAAAACAAATTATAGTTGTAAAAGTTGTATGCTTTATGTTACTAGATAGCTTGTTCTTGCTCCAAAGCTAAAAAAAACTCTTCTGTAATTTGCTATTTGTCAAGATCCTGTATCCTTCATCTTGAGAAAAATTATTCTTTCCAATAAATAGTTTATTATTTTTCTTTAGCATACTTGGATGCATAATAGTTACTTTACAGGTTTAGTTAGAGGAAAAGCAGGATCTGATTTACAAAAATTCATTCAATAGAAAACTTTCAAGGACCTAACTTTTGTAAAGAATTATATTCTCTAATTATAGGTTTCAAAATGTATATTAGCGGAAAACCTTATATAAGTTGTATACATTTGAAGTTTGTCCTTCTGGATATTTGCCATTAAGGGATTATTGTTAATCATTTTTATTTTATCTATGATAATGGTATAATAGTATATTTTTGTAAAAAGAGTCCTTATCACTTAGCAAGGCATATGAAAACATTTACAGATGAAATGATATGACAACTAGGATTTGCTTCAAAATAATTTGAGGGACACCTGGCTGGCTCAGTTGACAGAGCATCTAATTCTTTATCTTGGTCATAAGTTCAAGCCCCACCATGGGCATAGATCATTTACTTTAAAAAAATAAATAAATAAGAGACACCTGGGGAGATCAGTTGGTTAAGAATTCAACTCTTGGGGCGCCTGGGTGGCGCAGTCGGTTAAGCGTCCGACTTCAGCCAGGTCACGATCTCGCGGTCCGTGGGCTCGAGCCCCGCGTCGGGCTCTGGGCTGATGGCTCAGAGCCTGGACCCTGTTTCCGATTCTGTGTCTCCCTCTCTCTCTGCCCCGCCCCCGTTCATGCTCTGCCTCTCTCTGTCCCAAAAATAAATAAACGTTGAAAAAAAAAAATTAAAAAAAAAAAAAAGAATCCAACTCTTGATTTCTGCTCAGGTCATGATCTCATGGTTCATGATTTCAAGCCCCACAATGGACTCCATCCTGAGAGTGTAGAGCCTCCTTGAGATTCTCTCTCTCTCCCTCTCTCTGTGCCCTTCCTGTGGTTCCTCTCTCAAAACAAGTAAAATAAACTTTTAAAAAATAATAATAAATAAATGAAATAAATAAGTAAATAAATAAATTAATTAATTAATTAAATTAAATGAAATCTTTAAAAAAATAATTTGAGGGCATAGGGGGTAGAGTTAGATGAAACACATTTGGCCATACATTGAGGATAACTACTGAATCTGGATAATAGGTATACATGGCAGTTCATTTCATTTTTTTTTATGTTTATTTATTTTTGAGAGAGAGAGAAAGAGACAGAGTGTGAGCAGGGGAGGGGCAGAGAGAGAGGGAGACACAGAATTTGAAGCAGGCCCAAGCTCTAAGCTGTCAGCACAGAGCCTGACACAGGGCCCAAACTCAGGAACCGTGAGATCATGACCTGAGCCAAAGTCAGATGCTTAACTGGCTGAGCCACCCAGACACCCAAAATATGACAAATATTTTAAACTATAATAGCAAGTTACTAAATCACAAACACATTACAATCCCATTTTCTTGTATTTGTTTGTTTGTCCTTGGTAATCTTTTTTTTTTTTATCTTTAATTTTAATTCCAGTATAGTTAACATACAGTGTTATATTTGTTTCGGGTGTACAGTATAGTGACTTAATTCTATACAATTCTCAGTGCTCATTGTGATAAGTGTACTCTTTAATCCCCATCACCTATTTCACCCATCCCCACACCTACCTCCCCTCTGGTAACCATCTGTTTATTCTCTTTAGTTAAGAGTCTGTTTCTTGGTTTGTCTCTCTCTCTTTTTTTCATTTGCTTGTTTGTTTTGTTTCTTAAAATTCCACATATGAGGGAAATCATACAGTATTTGTCTTTCTCTGACTGACTTATTTCACTTAGGGTTATATTGTCTAGCTCTATCCATGTTGTTGCAAATGGCAAGATTTCATCCTTTTTTATGGCTAGGGAATATCCATTGAATATATATACCACATCTTCTTTATCCAGCTATCATTGGACATTTGAGCTGCTGCCATAGTTTGGCTATTGTAAATAATGCTACAATAAACATAGGGGTGCATATATTCTTTCATAGTGTTTTCATATTCATTGGGTAACTACCCAATAGTGCAATTACTGGATTGTAGCATAGTTGTATTTTTAATGTTTTGAGGAACCTCCATACTGTTTTCCACAGTGGCTGCAGTAGTTTGCATTCCCACCAACAGTGCATGAGTGTTCCTTTTTCTCCACATTTTTGACAACACTTGTTGTTTCTGGTGTTGTTTTTTTAATGTTTATTCATTTCTTTTGAGAGAGAGAAAGAGCAAGAGAGTGTGTGTGCGCATGTAGGGGAGGGGTAGAGAGAGAGGGAGAGAGAGAATCCTAAGCAGGCTCCACGCTCAGTGCAAGATAGGGCTCAATCTGACAAATTGTGAAATCAGGACCTGAGCTAAAATCAAGAGTTGGACACTTAACTGACTGAGTCACCCAGATACCACTGTTTCTTGTGTTTTTTATTTTAACCATCCTGAGAGGTATGAGGTGATATCTCGTGGTAGTTTTGATTTGCATTCTCCTGATGACAAGTGATGTTGACCATCTTTTCATGTGTCAGTTGGCCATCTACATGTCTTTGCAAAATTGTTCATATTTTCTCTAAATTTTTTAATTATTTGTTTTTTTGGTGTTGGATTGTGTAAGTTCTTTATATATTTTGGATAGTAACCCTTTATTAGATATGTCATTTGCAAATTTATTCTTCCATTAGGTAGGTTGCATTTTGGTTTATTTAATTATTTCCTTTGCTGTGCAGAAGTTTTTATTTTGATGTAGTCCTGGTAGTGTATTTTTGGTTTTGTTTCCCTTGCCTCAGGAGACATAGCTACGAAAATGTTGCTGTGGTCGATGTCAAAGAAATTACTGCCTGTGTTCTCTTCTAGGATTTTTATGATTTCAGGTCTCACATTTACATCTCTAATCCATTTTGAGTTTATTTTTGTGTATGGTGTAAGAAAGTGGTTGAGTTTCATTCTTTTGCATGTAGTTGTACAGTTTTCCCAACATTATTTGTTGAAGACACTGCCTTTTCCCATTATATATTCTTGCCTCATTTATCAAAGATTAAGTGACCATATAATCATGGGTTTGTTTCTGGGTTTTCTATCCTGTTCCATTGATTGGTGTGTCTACTTTTGCGCCAGTATCATACTATCTTGTTTACTATAGCTTTGTAGTATACCTTAAAATCTGGAATTTTGATACCCCCAGTTTTTGTGGGTTTTTTTCAAGATTGCTTTGACTATTTGGGGCCTTTTGTGGTGCCATACAAGTTTTAGGATTACTTGTTCTAGTTCTATGGAAAACACTGTTGGTATTTTATAAGATCCCATTTTAAAACTCTATATATACTTTGAATAAACATTAAGGGAGAAGTTTAAAAGAATGTACCTCAAACTGTTAAGTGATTTCCTCTGAAAAGTGGATTCAAAGAAAGGTAATAAGGGAGAGCACTTTAATTTTTTTATATATCCCTTTTCAGTGTTTAAATTTTTTTTACAGTCACTTTTGCAATTAAAAAATTACTTTAGGGGCACCTGAGTGGCTCAGTCGGTTAAGTGTCCAACTTCTGCTCAGGTCATGATCTCGTGCAGTTCATGGATTCGAGCCCCACGTCAGGCTCTGTGCTGACAGCTTAGAGCCTGGAGCCTGCTTTAGATTGTGTGTCTCTATCTCTCTCTGCCCCTCCCCCACTTGCACTCTGTATCTCTCACTCTCAAAAATAAACATTAAAATTTTTTTTTAATTAATGTAATGCATTAATAGTGGAAAATTTGGAAAATTTTGACAATAAAAAGAAAAAATAATCACCTACCACGTTGAGGTTATTATTAACATTTTGATAACATTTATGGCCTTTTTTTGTAGACATAAACATTTATAAAATCATACATATTACAGATTGTGATCATATTATCAAACACTATGAAGTTAATATGACATTACACAAGTCTTAAGCCTTTTTCTTGGACTTCTTACCAAAGTCCAAAATTCATCTTCCCATTACTATCCAAACTCATGTGTGAGTGAAAGAGTTTTTTATCCCTTTTATCAGGTAACTAAAGATGCCTAAGGGCTAGGTTTTGATAACCAGAGCCAGGAAAACTAGCTGTTTAAAATTCTACTCTTAGAGATCACTGTGTCTGTCTAGCAGAGTTAAAGAGGTGAACAGTTATTCAGATAAAGCTGCTTAGGATAAAAACCAATATAGGACATTCAAAACCAAAATTATCTTTTACTTCCCTAGAAGTCATTTGCTATAGATTATTTGTCTAAAGACCTAAGAAGGTAAATAGAATTTAACATAAATGGAAAATTATTTTACTAACTAGGCAAATGCCAATGCCTTGAGAATACCTGCAAACTATGTATATGTATCATTAATGTGGGAATGTAGATATGCTGAGATACCTAGAAATTAAGGCAGAGAGTTTCTTGACCAAGAAAATTAACCACGAGTTAATTT